AAAATTTTGAAATTTTGTATTGACTGACGTAAATAGTCGATGAAGCATGCTGTTCGTAAATTATATTGGGGATTTCAAACCAATAGCTTGCGAATTATGATCTTTCTATACTACGTTATCTTTAAGACAGACGAAATTCCCAATTCAGAGAACATTGTTTAAGGTCAGGAGATGGTTTGTTACGTTAAATTTTAAAAATCACATCGTATTCTAATCTGTGTTGAAATCTCACCGACAAAGTGAAAAAAAAGAATGGGAAAATAAAATCATAAAATTCATAATCTAAAGTGCGCGCAGGGTTAACAAACAAGACAAAATGACAATAATAGATGTTTTCAGTAGTGAAGTTATCAAATAAATTACTGTTTCATGCATGATCATTACATGTAAACTTGGGAGAAAAGTCATGTGCTTATTGCCATCGTTAAATTGCGAACATAAATTAAATTTGCCTATCGAAATATTCCACGAACCACCACTATTTACATTATACATTTATTTATTATTTAATGCATTATACTTTATATAGGCCACATACATTATGTTAAAATACGAATTTAAACTTAATTACATTATATTTTTCAGAAAAACAAAATCCATGCTTAATAAAAAGTTTTATAAGTATTAAATAGCCTAATAACTTGTTCAAATTGAACTACGTTTGTCTTGATAAATCAATATTTTTCAGATATAAAATTAAACCATTTAAATCAAAAATATGGTCGCAACTGAATACCGATTACCGAGATATCTCAGAAATAAAAGCCATGTAAAAGAGAAGTCTTTCACTTTAGAAATAACAGAGGTTTTAAAGTAAAATCAAATTTATTAAAACTTACCTGCAAATATGGAGTCAATGCCGAACAAAATGAGCGCAAATAGCAGAGCTTTCCGCATGTTGTCCGAAATACTAGATTCGTCAGCAAGAGAATGTAAAACACACTCAAGTTACAGATGCGCGTCCAGGGGACTGACCGACTTCGTAATGAGTTGCGCTTTTATCGGAGCAAAAAAAAAAAATAATTTAAGCCAATGGAAATCAAGATAGGACATGACATCACAGATCTCTAGGATATTTCGTGATGAAGAGGTTCCTAATCGAAACCAAAGTTAATATGGCTCAAGATGTTCTGGGAAATTGAGTTACAGGCAGCTTGGCGAATGATGGATGCAGTACTCATGTATGTCCGGATAAACTAGGATGTTGTTATTATAATTTAATTTGACAGCAGGGGGAAAACCAACATTACAGCACCGAGGTGTAACTACACCACTCAAGGCAGCGCTTTTTAAAAGACATCTTTAACATATTTAACTGCTGAAAAGATGGATGAACCAGGGACTCGCATTTATAGAGAAATATTTAACATGATATTATTCAAAGTCGGATTTGAAACCATAAAAACATTTTGATGATTATGTTAACTATGCATTTATTAATATATTTTAAAGATATACGTAACTTTCATAATTGTCATCTGTTTCAGGGTGAATTACAGCCTCCTGCCTCTGCTGTGTTGGACAGACTACCGGCCCCCCAACCCTAACAGGGATAAGCAGTTAGACGATGGATGGATGGATGCTTCTGCTTCATCTTCAAACACATGCAGTGACATAATTAAATGTCCTTTTGCAGTATGAAATTTCTGTGAACACTGCAGACAGTGGCAACACAATAACCAAAGCAGTAAAGCCCTGAGTGACAAGTCAGGCAGCAAAATGACAGAAACAAACAGAGACACACAGTGAAGATGGACCTGCAGACTCTGGAAAAATAAATGCATGTGGGCTGGGGGAGGAGCCAGAGTGCGGGAAAGGGAAAGAGACGATGGAGGGGTGAGTTCTGGCTTCCAACAGCTCCATCACTGTCACTGTGCAACATGCAGCCAGTTTGTATCGACCATTACGATGTGAAACGGTGACACACTGACATACATGCAGTGTAGGAAATATTCTGTAGCCTCAAATGTTTTCCAGTTAAACTGGGATCTGAAGACCATCTCCGGTGTCTGTAATTCTTTTATTTTGCTAATATTTAATCTACAGTTTTCTTACCTTTGACATTGATATAGGAGAGTTGTGGATCCCTGAATTTGTAAAAAGCAATTAAAGGAAATAAAATTAAATCTTAAAATTTTCAGTTCCCACCCCCAATGAACACGGTTTAACAAAACAGGAGAGATTTTAGTAGCAATAGATAATGGACATGAGTCACACAGTGGGTTACAGTGTATGAAGCAGAGACTCTAAGGCAAAGCAATTTAATGCAGAGGATCCTGTGACTAAGGGAGCCTGAATTGGAAAGTCCCTGAGATTTTACAAAATAACACAGAGCTGGTAGATATTTATAGCCTTATAGCGCCCTCTACTGTCGGCAGCTCCCCATTTCTCCCTGCAGTTCTCCAGTTCCATTTCAGGGAAATCACGTGAGAACCTCTGACTGGATTTCTCATTGCCAGTGTTACCAGGATAACCCAGAAACTAACAGTGAGTCAGGGCTTTTTGGGGGACCAGTTTTTCACAGGCAAAATGGCTGTTGTGTCACCTCACAATTGATAAATACTTTCTGGTTGTGTTACACAATGACAATAAAATGCTTGAATCTTGAATCTGACCACTCAGAAGAGCAGAAATTCTAATTTCGCACAGCAGACTGCATTAAAGATGTCAGCTGCTCTGTTTTATGCAGAAAGTTAATTTGGTAACATAATGTAATGGGATAGGAGGCGTGAGAGATGTGGGTGCAAAAAAATACCCCTGGAGGGTGGGGTTTATTCAGGTGATGAAAGGGCTGAGGTTGTAGGTTCAGGGGGGTGTGGTTCTTCCCCCAGGCAGGGGGGGGCACGGGTCCATTGGTGCTGGGGGTATGGCACAAGCGGCAGGGGTCTCTCAGGCCGATCGCCCCCCAGGCTGCCAGGGGAAGAGGAAGCACAGACAGCTGGCTTACCCAAGACCCTCAGGGTTTCGGCTCTGCTGGGGAAGACAATCCCGCCCCTCGGTGGGACAGTTGGTGACCCCCAGCTGTTTCTTGTTATCATTCCTTACAGGAGATTTATGGGCCGACCGTGAGGACCCCGCTGTTGTTGTCCACCTGCACAGTCCAGAGCGACGCCTGGCGTGTGCAGCGAATTCATGAGGTGTCATGTGACAGGGGGTGTGGCCTAAGAGGCTGGAGAACACGGTACCTGCTGATGACCTCCTGCGGTTCCTGGTGTATGAACCTCCTCCAGAGGCCCTGTGCAGGAGGGGCTGCAGCTCGATCCACTGCTTCAGTAGACTGACGTGGTGAAGCAGCTCAGAGGAGTGGCGGCTGCCTGGGATCCCAGACTTGGTCGGTCACAAAACCCGCCTTTTCCACCATGGTGTGAGGTCTCTGCCAAGAGGCCAGGAACATGCTGGAGGTGTTTGGGATGAGAATTAGCATTTGATTGCTGTGCTTGGGCAGGCCGGTTATATATCTGTTGTTGGGTCCGTTGGGGGGCCAAGTCCCAGCCACCAGGCGCTCGCCAACGGGCCCCTCCCCCAGGCCTGGCTCCAGGGTGGGGCCCCGGTGACCCTAGTCCGGGCGAGGGAAACGGGACTTTGTTTTTATACTTTTTCATAGGGTTCTTTTACACTCGTATTACCCAATATATTAGACAAAATAAGAGAAAATAAGACATATTAGATGTTACAAATATNAAATGCATGTGGGCTGGGGGAGGAGCCAGAGTGCGGGAAAGGGAAAGAGACGATGGAGGGGTGAGTTCTGGCTTCCAACAGCTCCATCACTGTCACTGTGCAACATGCAGCCAGTTTGTATCGACCATTACGATGTGAAACGGTGACACACTGACATACATGCAGTGTAGGAAATATTCTGTAGCCTCAAATGTTTTCCAGTTAAACTGGGATCTGAAGACCATCTCCGGTGTCTGTAATTCTTTTATTTTGCTAATATTTAATCTACAGTTTTCTTACCTTTGACATTGATATAGGAGAGTTGTGGATCCCTGAATTTGTAAAAAGCAATTAAAGGAAATAAAATTAAATCTTAAAATTTTCAGTTCCCACCCCCAATGAACACGGTTTAACAAAACAGGAGAGATTTTAGTAGCAATAGATAATGGACATGAGTCACACAGTGGGTTACAGTGTATGAAGCAGAGACTCTAAGGCAAAGCAATTTAATGCAGAGGATCCTGTGACTAAGGGAGCCTGAATTGGAAAGTCCCTGAGATTTTACAAAATAACACAGAGCTGGTAGATATTTATAGCCTTATAGCGCCCTCTACTGTCGGCAGCTCCCCATTTCTCCCTGCAGTTCTCCAGTTCCATTTCAGGGAAATCACGTGAGAACCTCTGACTGGATTTCTCATTGCCAGTGTTACCAGGATAACCCAGAAACTAACAGTGAGTCAGGGCTTTTTGGGGGACCAGTTTTTCACAGGCAAAATGGCTGTTGTGTCACCTCACAATTGATAAATACTTTCTGGTTGTGTTACACAATGACAATAAAATGCTTGAATCTTGAATCTGACCACTCAGAAGAGCAGAAATTCTAATTTCGCACAGCAGACTGCATTAAAGATGTCAGCTGCTCTGTTTTATGCAGAAAGTTAATTTGGTAACATAATGTAATGGGATAGGAGGCGTGAGAGATGTGGGTGCAAAAAAATACCCCTGGAGGGTGGGGTTTATTCAGGTGATGAAAGGGCTGAGGTTGTAGGTTCAGGGGGGTGTGGTTCTTCCCCCAGGCAGGGGGGGGCACGGGTCCATTGGTGCTGGGGGTATGGCACAAGCGGCAGGGGTCTCTCAGGCCGATCGCCCCCCAGGCTGCCAGGGGAAGAGGAAGCACAGACAGCTGGCTTACCCAAGACCCTCAGGGTTTCGGCTCTGCTGGGGAAGACAATCCCGCCCCTCGGTGGGACAGTTGGTGACCCCCAGCTGTTTCTTGTTATCATTCCTTACAGGAGATTTATGGGCCGACCGTGAGGACCCCGCTGTTGTTGTCCACCTGCACAGTCCAGAGCGACGCCTGGCGTGTGCAGCGAATTCATGAGGTGTCATGTGACAGGGGGTGTGGCCTAAGAGGCTGGAGAACACGGTACCTGCTGATGACCTCCTGCGGTTCCTGGTGTATGAACCTCCTCCAGAGGCCCTGTGCAGGAGGGGCTGCAGCTCGATCCACTGCTTCAGTAGACTGACGTGGTGAAGCAGCTCAGAGGAGTGGCGGCTGCCTGGGATCCCAGACTTGGTCGGTCACAAAACCCGCCTTTTCCACCATGGTGTGAGGTCTCTGCCAAGAGGCCAGGAACATGCTGGAGGTGTTTGGGATGAGAATTAGCATTTGATTGCTGTGCTTGGGCAGGCCGGTTATATATCTGTTGTTGGGTCCGTTGGGGGGCCAAGTCCCAGCCACCAGGCGCTCGCCAACGGGCCCCTCCCCCAGGCCTGGCTCCAGGGTGGGGCCCCGGTGACCCTAGTCCGGGCGAGGGAAACGGGACTTTGTTTTTATACTTTTTCATAGGGTTCTTTTACACTCGTATTACCCAATATATTAGACAAAATAAGAGAAAATAAGACATATTAGATGTTACAAATATATTATTATAATTATATTATTATAAATAATTATTATTACTGTACATTTAATTACGAAGAGCAAAGATGCTTCCGATGCGTAGCGATGTATCATTTTCACTGTCTCTATCAACTTTTTAATGAATATACAAAAAACCGCGATAGAGTGAAACCGCGAAAGTCGAAGCGCGAAGTGGCGAGGGATGACTGTATACTGTTTTAGCAGTTAGGGGCCTTATGATTATTGTTTTATTGTAACTCTTTATTTGGAGAAACTCTTCACAGCCTTGTACATGTTTATAATTAGAATTTATAATTGAGAAATGGTTGTCATACCTTAGTCTTTCTTGATCTTCTTGTTACTCTTTCAGATGTTTTATTTTTAAATATTTGAATATTCTGGTGCAAGGCCATTCACTGCT